CGTAGCTGCCCGTGCGTAACGGCGTGCGTAACGGTCAACGATTGCGTTTGGCTGGGGTGTTACGTAGAAACCAAGAATGGCCAACGATTGCGTTTGGACGTTCAAAATCGTTATATCAAGAGTCGTTATATCAAGTTAAATCGACTGTACTGCATTTGAGCGAAAAATTAGATTAAATAATATATCTTTCGCTACTTTTAAGCTCACAAATGGAAATAAACCATAGATGAGATGTTTGTGACTTGGTTCCGTGTATAATGCTCGTTTAATTCTTTGTATAAACCTACTAGGGATCGTTGAATGAAAGTTACAAATTATAAAATATTCCTAGCTGATGTGTAGAAAGTTAAAAACAAAAAAGAGCCAAAAAAAAGCTTTTCAGCGACTCCGTTGATCACAAATCAAGATTGCACTCGTTACGGGTTTCCGATCGTTTTCCTTTTCAGCTATCAACTAATGGGTTCGGCTACTTTAGTAGTCACTTTTGATCGGTAAGTAAGCAATTTTACAAAAGATTGTAAGTCAAATAATAATAATAAAGTGAAGATATCAACAGTCAAGACATCAAAATTCAACTCTCGCATACCACAACTTAGAACTTCGTTAGAATTTAGAACAATTACAATTTAGAACCGAAACATAGGCATCGTCTTGTTGGAGTCTGTTTTATCATATAAAAAGCTTTTGTATGCTTCATTAAACTATTAGGTTGTTCGGATATAAACGAGCGTTTGCACTGCTTAACTCGTGAGGAAGCCATTTCCCGCATCTCATCGTCTTTCCAATGGCGATTCCAATGTTCATCAATAGTAGAATTTGAACAAAGAAACTATTGCGAAAGTTCACGCATCGTTTGACATGGATTCGATTCGAATGCAGCCCTCAAAATATTGTTCTCTACCGCTTGAGGTAGACAACGATACTCTTGACGAGAGCGTTCATCATCCTCGAGACTTTCATCACCATTCCGAAAGCGTTGGAACCAGGCTCGGCATCGGCTTTCGGACTTTCTTTTTCCCAAAGGAATTCCCAAAGGCTTTGACCAAATCTCGATGGGATTCCGCGACTGTTTTGCCGTAAAGTCGTAAAGTAGGCAGACGCGAACTTGATATTTTTGAAGTCAAATATATCAAGTCGGTCATCTAAAGCAAGAAGAAAAGCTCTTAAAAATAAGAAATTAAAAGATTAAAAGAAAATCCGTTTAAAAAGACTCCAAATATGCACAAGATAACGTATTTTTCAATACAGAAAGACGTGTTTTAACAGTTTTAACAGTTTTAACAGTTTTAACACGTTTTAAAAGCTTCTCTCACAACGATAAGTTTAGAAACGCTTGTTTATATCCGAACAACCTAATAGTTCATATTTGATAATGATTTTAGATTTTGTGCTGTTATGCGACCAGTTTTCTATCGTTCATTGAGCGAACGGTTTGCTTTTGGAGTGATGGGCTGTAAGTAGTTTTGTAAAGATTGAGGATTTGCAAAAACCACAATCTCTCAGGTCTTCTCATTTATGTGACTACAATTTCGATCTTTTCAATGACTTACATCCATCTATCGGCACCTCTACCAAGCTCGCCCAGTTGCTTCACTTCCGAGTGTTTCACGCCAATGATTTGGAAGTATTTACTGTATTTTCGAATGAGTGCCATTGTCACAAGCAGTTTTCTCTATTTACCGATTTCATTTCAGATTTATCGGGTAATCAGAAGAGCTTTAACTACAGAATTTAACTACAGAATTTTAGATGTCAAAAGCTTTGAAACAAAAACGAACAAAATCGAATTTTTCGAAGAAAATCATCAAGACAACGAGAACGATAGGTAACTATAAAAAAACTTTAAAAGAGCCAAATAGGAACTATAAAGGAACTTTAAAGGAGCCAAATAGGAACTATAAATGAACTATAAATGAACTATAAATGAACTATAAAGGAACTATAAAGGAACTTTAAAAGAGCCAAATAGGAACGATAGGCTTAAAAGGGTTTCCCCAAAAGCACTTACAACGTAACACGAACACTTAGTATCCAACAATAGATTAATACTCTTGAGAAGAGTACAGATCGGATTGATACTACGTCGATGGTGACACAAATGTTAGTAAAACCAGCTTCAGAATAACCGAATAACACAAAAAGTTAAAAGGGTTTCCCCAAAAGCACTTACAACGTAACACGAACACTTAGTATCCAACAATAGATTAATACTCTTGAGAAGAGTACAGAACGGATTGATACTACGTCGATGGTGACACCAATGTTAGTAAAACCAGTCTCTCTACAATGTTAAACCAGTTATCTAAACAGGAAAACCGGAAGGGTAGCATAAAGTAAAGTGAATTTATAACGTTACTGTTTATTAGTACAGAACCGAAATGCAACAATACCCATTACAAAAACAGCATGCTCATCAAAAATGAAACAACAAAGTTCCCCAAGAAAGAAGGCAAAAAACCCGCAGACCAAAAAAAATAATTTCGGAAAGGGAGAAAAAGGACGAAAAATGCGACGCGAATAATTGCAAAATAGCAACGCAAATAGGAAGGAAACGGACGCGACCGGTAAATTTTTTAAAATGACAAATTCAAAATCTTGGTTCACGACTTTTTCTTGGAATATTCTTCAATTCTTCAAAATATTTTTGTAGAGAACAATATTCTTTAGAATTTCTATATAGTTTTATAGAGAAGGTTACTCTTAGAAGGTTACTCTTGATAACTCTTAGAAGTTATCAAAGTTTATTTTGTCAACAGCTTCAACAGCTTCAAGCTTAGCTTCTCGTTAAAAAACATTTTCCCTACTAAAACCATTCTTTCTAAACTTTTAAATCAAAATTTCAAGGCCTCACCGTTGCCGCCGAGATCATTTTCGTAGTGATGTCCGACATTTTTCTCACATTTAACCTCTTCGGTTTGGCACGTTATCAAGTCGCTTGGTACATTTGTGCTGTCAGTAAAGGTGAGTGGCTTTTTAGATCAATTAGATCTTTAGATCAATTTAAGTACTTGATACTGGAAGAAATTTTGGGGGAAATTGAGTCACTTGACAAGACAATTGTTTTCGGTATATTCGCTTTCATTTAGTCTATTTGCTTTTGCTTTCTACGCATAAAATATGTCAAAACGATAAGCCTTGTGTTTGCTGTAATTATGGGGAGAAAATGAGTTAGATTTATTTAACAGGATAAAGGTTACGGGTCTTCCTGTTCTATCAGCATCTTCCTTCCATTGGAAGGCGCGTCACCGTCTGCTAGTCGACTGGTTTAGGCTTAGACTTTTACCTGTTGGCTGTTGGCTCGTTGGCTGTTACCATATTCCTTGCTTCTGGCTTGGGAGGTGACTTCTGCTGGGCGGCATCGGAATAGAAACGGACGAGGGCGACTCTTTTAGACGACCTTTTCTGGTGTGATGGTCAATCGGGTCGAAGACTACTTCCTCTGATGTCACTTCAAGGTACGAGACGTCTGTTGTCGGCGAGAAGACTACACGCTCTGATGTGACCACTTTGGGTTTGTCAAACATTCTCCATTATGTTGGAGAAGGCAGCAACTGCTGACGAATCGACATCGTTTCTTTTGTTTTGAGCAGATTCGACTGAAAAGAAGTCTAGACGAAGTCTGCTTTAATATAGTCGAGTGGGCGGAGCTTGTGAACGGCGCGACGCGTGCCGGTTACGGTAGTTTATCCGTGCAGAAAGTGGAAAGACTGGCTTGTACGAAAACTTCTTCATTTTCCATAGGAATATTGCTGATTGCTGATTGATTATTCCTATTAAAAGCCAAAAGTTTCCACAAAAGGATCAAAATCAGAAAAACTTTGTTTTACCAGATATTTTCAGCAATAAGTTAAGTAGCGCTTTGACTTTGAAGAGCCCTTAGATAAATGATCGCATACTTTTCATTGAATCTGTTTGCAGGAGCCGTCAATGTACTCTTGGTCACACTGAGACACGATGACATTTTAAGTGTTTTGAGGGAGAAATTTCAAAGGATACGAAGAGGATCGAAAATCCAAATTGGTGAGTTTTTGAGTGAAGTGAAACGGCTTTAAATTTGAGGCTCATCGATGGTGCTGTCCGGGCAAAGATCAAAGAGTCAAAACGAACAAAACGCAAATTTTTAATTTTTACCTTTCTTCTCTAAATAAATAAACTCTTTTATGTAAAGTTTGCAGAAAACAAGGTACCGTAAATACTGTAATAGTACCGCATTCCCCTCGTACAGCCGCGTAGTCGCAAAAGTTTCTTAGTATTTCATTTTTTCCAAAGCGCCCGTGCTTTCAAAAAATGCGTCTTTGGTATCAAAAAATAGCCCTGAATCTCAGCTATTTTTTGATACCTAAGTGCGCATTGTAGCATAAACCAGTGTCGAGAAAAACTCGTTCAAAGCTAGACTACGCAACGCTCCGCACCGTCATTATGGGGGTGGGGTACTATTACAGTATTTACGGTATGGAAAAGTAAATTTTTGAAATATTATATTCACTACTAAGGTTGTGGCAACAAAAACAACTTTCGTCAATTGTCAACATCGGTTCGATTGTCCAGGAATTGTCTCAGTCCAGACCGAACTGAACCGAGGGCTAAAATTTGCTCAAAACCGAAAATTTTGGTTTTCAGTATAGAACAAACCAAAAACCATAACTAACACATACCAAATTTTGTTCTTTTCTACCATTCTCTAATCACAAAACAATGGTTTTTCTATTCTTAAATAACTTTCATTCGTTCATTTCCAGAAAATTCATTTTCAGAGATGTGATTTTCAAAAGTTAGCCCTTTAAAATTGACTCTCAAAGCTTTATTTATTGAAATCATAGTTTTGGGGTACACAGAAATTTCTTTGACATTCTAAGACAGACAACTCCCTAATTACCCCCGTGCACTTGTACTCGAGAAAGCTATTGAAAAAGTTGTTAGTCAAAAATCACTTCAACATTAATCAACCCTCAATCAACCCGAATTCGTCTACATAGCCGGCAAAAGTCTCCTCTTCACCGATGGCAAAGAAATACATTTTCTGGCCGAATGGCTCGTGTACAAGTGAAAGTGGGGAAATGCTGCATCCGACAGAAGATTTCACTCCGCTCATGCTCGAGAAACTCGACACCGACTACGCGTACTATTACGATTGCTCGTTTCAGTGAGTTCTATGAAATATGAGGACGTTAATACTTGTACTACGTTAATACTGAAGTGCTGAACAGCTTCAGTATTTAGTAGAGTGTGTTCCTCGCGAGTAAGTAATTACTCGAGTAAAAGGCAATCGAAGCTGCCAGGAGCCAATTTATTGTTCTTTGAGCTACATTTCCATTCGAGCTACATTTCCCGACCACACATCAATGGATTCTGATTGATGGTTCTTGCTAGGCTTAGGCTTAGGCTAAAACAACTAAAACAGCTCATAAGCTGTTTTAGTTGACTCAAAGGGTTGACTCAAAAGGTTGACCCGTCTAATAGAGAGAATACTAGAGTGTGTTCCTCGTGAGTAAGTAAATACTCGAGTAAATTTGCATGAGTCATTAATCGTTCGATTAATAGCTCGAGTAATTGTCGAGCAATGCGTTTTTTAAAAAGTGCGCCTACGCAAAAAAATATAAAAGCAATTTTTTGCGCAGGTTTTTCAAAAAAAGTTATTCTTTACTTTGGACGGGAATTTCCCACGAAATCAGTTAATTGGCTGAGTATCTTTAAAAAGTGTCGTATATAATGCGGGGCTCGTGATTTTTGCGTCATTTTTTTGCAAAATGTACGGTAATTTTTTCCCAAGTGTGCGTTTTAAAAAACGCACACTTGGACCGATGTGTAAAGTGATTGTGGATCAGATCTTGTGTGTGATTGGTAGGAATTGCAATTGGGCTAATGTTTACCAACACAAATTACACCACAAAGACCAAACATGGGTTAAACGTCATTTGGTCTTTTCGTACTAGGTCGGCCTTTCCCCATTCCATTTGTTGGCACGGTTGGCTCCTCTTCTAGTGAGCGGGCGGCACAGGCTTAGGCTTAGACTCAAGGCTCGAGAATCATCATCCCCGCTGGGAGCAGAGCTGGTCCATCATTTGACTTCGGAAAAGAAGAAACATCTGGCGGCATTGAGTAGATTGGGAAGTAGAGGGACTGGAAGACTCTAGAAGAGTGAAAGTCCGGGAAGGGAAAGTGGGCGGAGCTTGTCGGAGTCCGCGGCCCGCCGAAACGGAATCCGCGGAGCTTGTCGGAGTCCGCGGCCCGCTGAAACGCTTCGATGTGGCAGTGCGACTGTCTGTTGAAACGGAACATCTGCGGAGTGTTTCGGAGCTGAAGGACGGTAAACTCACATGAACTCATATGAACTCATACACTCACATGAACTCATATGTGAGTGTATGATTGATGGGGTTCTGGACATTTCACTTTGTTTTTCTTTTTTATATTTAAACAAAATCAAGCTAAATGTATGTACAATCACAGAACAACCATAATTTTCCATTTTGTGTATTCAAATGGCTTCCGTTGGAATGTATCGGGTCATTTCGAAAACAATGACGGTGATGAAAACATACACAAAAATTTGCTTTGATCTGAAGCAGTTGTGCAAATATAGAGCTTGAAAAAACTCTCAATTATGCTATAAATTGGCCGCATCACGCTTTCAAATGAGAGAAAAATGATGCTGTTTTTACTGGGGGTCTTTTCGATTGCGGGATGTGCTTCTGTAACGGTGGATAAAGCTAGAACGACAACACCGACAACACCGACAACACCATGTGGCAATTGTACGGCTGATGGTGAGTCTTTGTCTTGAATTTGTTTCTGATAGATGTCTAAATCTACTTATAGATGTCTAAATTTGTTTTATGTGTTTGATATTTTGAAAAATGTTCAAAATTAATAGAAGTTGGCTCTCATATATTTTTAATCTTTGATGTTAGCTTAAAAATTCTTTGAATGCGAAAAAAACAGCTCGAAGACAGCCTAGATTTACAGGTTTGTGGTCTCTATGGGAATTCACCTCAACACAATGTATCACCTCGTGGACATGGACCGAAAAAACGACCTATGTAAATGGGAAATGGTCTCACACAAGGACGAAAGTGTTGCTCAATTGTGGAATGTATGGGAGACAGCCACAGATCAGAACTTGTCTCTCCAATCCACTGGGATGTCCATGCAAGTGGGTTCAGAAAACTTTACTATTTTTGAAACCACTGATCGTTATTCAATTTAGAGGCGACGTCGTCCGTCAGGTTGGATGCGGCAGTGCGACTGTCTGTTCGATCAAAGAGCTGCCAGGAATCGATTGTGCTCCTGGATATGTGTGAGTTGCAACTGTTATTCGAGTTTAAATATTAAATTCCAGAAAAAGTGGATCAATTTGTGTCCAGTCATCACCTCCACCACCAGAATCAAACATTACCGCGGAAATCAACGAACGATGCGGTAAGTTGATTATTTTGTTCACTTTTGAGTTAAAAGTTCTTTCTTAGTTAAAAGTTAAAAGTTTCTTAAAAGTAAAGTTCTTTGCTTTATTTAAGTTTTATGGAAAACAGTACTATGAAGCTACTATTAAGCTATTAACCCTATTAAGTCCTATTAAGCTCAGCTATAAGCTGAAAAGTTGAAAGATTCAAATTTCAGTGTTGAAGCCAAACTGTGCTTGTCCAAAGGGAGGCGCTTGGAGTGACTATGAGTGGCTCGAGTCAGCTCCATGTCCAACGATTCCCACTTATCTCTACAGTCAAAACGCGAGTCTCTATAAACCTTACGAAGCATGTGGTGCCTGTCAACAGCAACTTCAGCAACGATTCTGTGTCTCGGCTGTGAGAGGGTGTCCTTGCACGTGGGTTTTTCTCAGTGCTCCTTACTAAATTTCTTACTAAATCACTAAATTCAGCAGCTTAAGTTGTTCACAAACCAAATATTAAGGGAAAAAGTGAAGTAAATCGTTAAATTTAAGCCTAATTATGCTAAAAGCTTGTATTCGCCTTTAGCAAAATCATCTAAAGATCACTTAAAGCCTTTTTGATCGCTGTAGTCTAAGTAGTTTTTTTATTTATTTTTTAGTCATCCAACAAATAATCTAAGTCATTCGCTGTTTTTGTTGAAGCTCTAATTTCTAAAATAGTGACTCAACACATTGTTTTGTAAGCCCAAGTGAGAAACGAAGAGCTGGTGCCCGAGCTGACTCAATATTTGCGAGCGTCTAAATTAAGCTAGACAAATTTTGGCGAAAACAAATACGATTCATTTTTATAAAAAAAACTGTCTAGAACTGTTGGCTTTATACAAAAAATTGTTTCAGTGGTTCACCGTATCGATTGATGCGCTGTAATCCGACAATGTGCACTTTCCCGCTATTCCGTTGCTGTAATGATATTGATAACATCAAACAGCAAGTCAACTACTCAACAGTGAGCAAAAACAATGAAAAATTGAAAAGAAACGATTTAGAAGCGATACGAGTGTTTACCAACTCCAATAGATAAATGGTCGCTTGTGTCAACGCAGACCGATCCGTATGCTAGCAATAGTACATGTGAGCGTTCAAATAGAGTGTAGTTAGGTTGTACTGTGAGTTACGAGAGTCAACTTGTGCTTAAAAATACTTTTTCTTAAGCAATGTCTTATAAAGTCAGAGATTTATAGCATTATAGCATAAGAAACATCAAATTATAACTATAACAAATTACAAAAGAGCACTGTAGTCTTTGTTATGGAATTTTCTTGTTGTTATTAACAGGTTCTATGTTTTGTTAACCTTCAAATTTGAGTCTTTAGTAAACCATTAAACTAAGAACATCAGAAGCATTGACTTTCCAGTAAACTAGTAGCTTTTGACTAGTAGCTGGAAGCTTTTGACTATTTTAGCAAAGCACCTGTTTGTCTTCAAAAAAATCCAGTACCTCCTTTCGGGTGCCTGGAAATCTTTTTATTTATTCAGAAACATTAATAACTTAATTTTGTGTCTCTAATAAGCTCTCGAAGTAATAGTTAGTTAATAGAAATAGTTGTAAGAAATATATTTATACTTTGATCTTTATAATTTCTTGTGAGACCGTGTCTCGGTGTGGTTCAATGGTACAGTACCGGACAATCAACTAGCCCTGAAAATGGATGGCGCTTGAGCGGACCACTTATACCCGACCGTTGCCGACTTGAGCGCAATGCCCGCCTGGTCGCAACGAGTAAGAGGGTCGCGGTGGTTTGATATACAGTACCGGACAATGAAATATCATATTTGAAAAACGATTGTCACTTTCGCGCGTCTGTAACTCCCTTGTCTTTGAGTTTAAACTATTAGTGTTATACATTTTCTGAAAGCTCTTTTCAAGGGCTACACAATGGTAATATTAATATTTAGAAATACGGTAAAGACAAGGGAGTTACAGACGCGCGAAAGTGACGACCTTTTTTCAAATATGATATTTCATTGTCCAGTAGTGTAGATATCTTGAAAACGCACAATTTATCAAAACTTTCCCTTATTAGGGCAAACTTTGCTCAAACTGGAGCAACCTGATCACAATTACTTCAACACTTGCGTGAGAAAAAAAGGGATGAATAGAAAAGGGAGCCCACAAATGACTCAAAACAAAGCTTAAATAATGGGTTTTTAAGTACACAAGCTAAGACAAACGGACAACTGAATATCATCAGTGGTTGATTACGCTAGTTTATCCATCAACTTTGAATTTTAACTTGTGTATTGAATTTTGACTAACTGCAGAGCGGTGGCAATTCGCCAAAATATTATTTCCGGTGAACTAATTCTGAAAATCGAAGCAAAACTCATTTGTAATGCAAATTTCAGGTTTCAAAGATCTCCAAATTGGTTAACATGGTCTTCCTTCCATCAAATCAAAGTAACTATTCTGTAAATACCATGTTCAATGTCCTGTAAATATTGTTGTTAATGAATAAATTCAAAAAAATCACCTGCAGAGTTTCTCGGGGTGAAGCACTCTAGAAAGTCTCTTAATAGAAAAAGCTGAGAGACTATCTGGACTCGACGATTTTTTAGACCCTAATTTACAAAAAGCTTTCTCAATGTTCGCTACACAGATTAAAAAAATCTGCACATCAATTTGCTTTACCGGAAAGGCTGGACACTGTTCGCTTTCATCTGTAACTTTCATCTGTAATACATTATGAAAGAGTTTGGCAAACTCAGTGACGATTTTACTGGATTGGAAACAATTTTAATACTGTCTAAGGGATCAACAAAAGGATTGAAGACTAACTTTGGATCTTTAGTTTTAGATCTTTAGATCTTTAGTCTCCTATTTTTTAAATAGGAGAAGAAAGAATTGCTGTTTTTTGAATAAACAGCTTTCCTTGCAATGTTTGACTGAAACTTTTTTGACAAAATTTCTGACAAAATTTAGAGAGCTTGCACTGTTATTACTAGTGGGTAACTAAAGGATTTGCTAGCTATTATGTTGGCGGGAAAGTTCGTCAAAAAAAGTTTCCACAGTGATTTCTCAAAAACCAAGCCATGAATTCTTGAAAGGATTGATTTAGAGACCGAAAAGTGAGATGGGTTCTCAATCTATGTCAATTGCTTCTTTGCCTTTTAAATAGATTGACCTAATAGAAGAACATTGACTTTAAGCTAAAACAGGCCAACTTACGAAAACTACGGTAATCTTGCTTTTATTAGATTGGCAAGAAAGTTCGTAAAAAAAGTTTGCACGGTAATTTCTTAAAAACCAAGCCATGAATTCTTCCGAGATTTTGATAAACTTGGCTATTTCGAAAAGTTTTTGACAAAAAATCAGAGTGGGCTTCAGGTAAAAAATAAGAGATTTTTTCAGCTGAAATGACTTGGTCACTTTTTGAGTGACCAGCCTTTAGACAAGTTTTTAATGGGTTAATGGATAGGCAATGGGTCCTATTCAAAACCTAAAATGAAGTACTAAAAATAGGAAAAATTTGTCATTAAGGCAAATTTTATCTAATGCTTTAACTTTTCAGAATGACCTATTTTAGCAAACACTCAGTGCCAAGAAGATGACACCAAAAAATTATTTTTTGAAATACAGCCTCTGTAAAATTTTTTGGCCAAAAATAGAGATTATAGAGATCTTTTTAATGGGTTAATGGATAGGCAATGGGTCCTATTCAAAACCTAAAATGAAGTACTAAAAATAGGAAAGAGCCTATTGCTCATTTATGCTGGCTTTACCTCATAAAAAAAATCGTTTTTCTGGTGCAAAAAGTGAGCTGAATTTAAGCTGACAAATCATAATTTTTCAAATCTCTAATTCTAAGGAAAAGCTGCACTCATTTTTTACGAGTAATTTCTTGGAGTCGACTTGTAAATAATAAAACAAAATGTTCTTAAATTGGTGGATTCGTTTTTAAGAAATTCCAGTCAAACTTTTTCCGAGAACCTTCTTTCCAACCTAATAGATAGCTAGATCTTTCAAAGAATGCAAAAGTCTTGCTTTAGCTCTCGTAATATGATTTGGAACTAATTTTACAGGATGAGTGCAGAAGTTTTCTATGGCAAATAGGATTTCAAAACAGAGAAAATTATAGTCATCATCTATAGAACTTATCCTAGAGCAGAAAGAGTTCCCTCTAAGAGAGTTTAAGAGGGAACGAGCTGCTTGGTCGAAATTAAATCCAAAATACACGCAACGTTTCTGTAGAGAAGTCGAAAATTGCAGTCCTCCAATTTCGAACGCGATCGCATGATGGTCTAATCAAGGAAGAGGCTACAAACGCTTCAGCTCCATGATGGCATCAAGGGAATCGGACAAGACCAGATCTAAAATAGAACCAGAGCATTTTCTTACGCGGCTTGCGAAACCAAAGACATTGATGGGTCGTCAATAAAAAAACTCTCGCAGAATTGCAGAGCTGCTGGATTGTGCAGCCCGAGAGCACGTGGGAAGTTGACCATCATCTTTAGGTGGAAAGTGTTTGGGACGACGGTTCTTCTTCTTTGGTGTTGGCTCAGTGATCAACATGGCTTTTAAGTTGTTCAAATCGGATTTCTCGAAGACCTTACAGTTATGCTTCTTCTTCTGGCGCCGGTTGCAGAACCAGATCTTCACCACATCAAGTCCGAGTGACATCTCCTCAGCCAATGTCGACATGTAATCAAGTGAAGGCCTTTGATCGATTCGAAAAACAACCTCAAGGATGTTGATTTGTTCCAAGCTAAGCTGTGTGCGTCGTTTTCATCTCTTCATCGGCGAATCTTCATCGTCAGTGATGGATTTACGAGAAGTTCCAAGTTCCACAATTGCACCAACAGATGTTCCGTTCAGCAAAGCCTTTTCAGTCTCGCAAATCCATTGCTCAAGGATCGGTTGAAGCTTGCACATGTTCTTGAAGGAAAGATTGCAGGCTTCAAAGCGTGAGATGGTTGTCTGCGAAAATTCAGCGCCATAGCGAGGTCCAAGTGCGTGTCCAACATCCAGTTGAGTGAAGCCGAAATTGACACGGGCATTCTTGAAGAACATTGCAAACTTCTCGAGCTCGTCTAGCTTTTTCATGTCCGCCTCAGTGAGGAGCTTCAACGCTTCTTCCAAATCCTCCAATTTATGTCCAAAAATTTCGCCATTGATTGGCTCCGGCAGAGCGTAAATATCAGCCATTCGAAGAAAATTGATGAATTTCGATCGAACTTTCCTTGTCGAATTCTTCGAAAATGAAAAATTTTGCCATTTTCAACATTTATAGCCTTAAACTCTCTTACTTTCTCTTTTAGTTTTCTTTGGTTTTTACTATACTTTTGGTTATTCTATGATGTGGTTAATAAATTTGTTTAGATACCGTCGACTAATGGAGGAACAACGGCAGAAATATGGAGAACTGTTGCAACAACTCCCCCTTGAGACGGTCGACTATGCCTTTGCTTACGGAAGCGGTGCTCTACAACAAAAGGGAGAGAAAAAGGAGGAAAAGGTTTCTGATGTTTAACATTTTTAAACTGATTCGTTTAATTTATAGATGGTGGATTTTATTCTATCGACCTCGGAACCAGAGAAGTTTCATCGCGTGAACCTGGAGCGAAATGGACACCATTATTCTCTCCTTCGAATTGCGGGACCAAGAGTTATATCACAGTTTCAGGTTAAACTTTTTGAATGTTAAATCTTTAATTTATATTTTAGTTCAGACCACATTTGGAGCCCATGTTTATTTCAACACTCAAGTGCTCGTTGGTCAACGAACGATAAAATACGGGATTATTTCGACGCAGGATCTAAAGTAAATTTAAGTATTCTTTTATAAAGTTTTACTTTACTTTAGAACTGATTTACTTGATTGGAAGTGGCTTGCTGGGCGGTTGCAAAAGCCTGTCCTCGAAGTAAGTAACCTAAAAGAGGCTCGTGAATTAATTTTTTTTAATTGGCTAATTTCACTTTTACCGTTTATTAAAAACGTTGTCAAGTTTAGATTATCTCTCAACGTGACGATATAGCAGGATGGATCAAAGCTAATCGATTAAACGCCTTGAATGCAGCTTTATTGCAACTACATGAAACTTTCTCTCTTCGCGATCTATTTAGAAAAGTAATTTCCCTATTAACTAAAAGGATTGATAACATTTAGATTGTTGAATTATCTTATATGGGAGATTTTCGGATGTTGATCGGTGAAGATAAAAACAAGGTGGCTAAGGTGGGCGTAAATCTTTCACAGATATGTAAGTTGTCAAATTTTAAGATTGTTGATGGAAGCTATGGTGAATTAGCAGAAACGTATCGCTATTTACTGTCGGAAGACAAACGAATAGTAAGTGATTTTTGGTTTGATATGACTGAAAACTTTTAGTTTGTCAAATCTGATGCAGTAATTCGACAGGAGTATAGTCAAAACTCAATTGCCGACCGGTATTTAGTAACTTTCTCTGCTAGTTATTTGAATCTTTTAGGATAAACCATCTACCAGCTAACGTCAAAGGCAGATTGTCGAGTAGTTATCAAAAAGAAGCGCAAGTATTTTATAATGTTTGGTAGATAAAAGGAAATTGTTTAGAGCATTGACCCAAATGATTTGACAAGACAACTTTCGAGTGCAATCGGATCGGTTGTAGCGCCCGTCGCCTTAGTTCAAGTTTTATTATATTTATTTATTTGATTTTCCCATATTTTTAGACTGCCAAGAATGCTGTATCGGCTGGGATTCTTCGATCAATAATTTATTCAATGGCTAAAATGAAGAAAATGTTGAAATCTGTAAGATAGTTTCGTTTGTTGTTGTTAGTTTTAACTAGTGTTTGTATATATGTAATAATTGTTTTATAAACTTTATTGACTTGAAGCCAGACCAAATAACAGAACATCCAATCGACTGTGATTGGACCAATAACAAGTTGAAGATAGTGGGTCTAACTTGGAAGAGAAAAATAGAAATTCAAGCGGGTAACTGCACATTTCAAATAGGTAAAACGGACGGGACCAGCCTTGAGATCAAGAAACAGCTATTTTCAGACAATATTTTACAATTAGTAAGGGAATTGTTTTTAGAAAAGACCCGCCTAGCGATTTTTGGGGATTAATGATTTTCAATGATAAAGAACAAATCTTCATCATCTTCATTCATAAAATCGAAGCGCTGTGCTAGTGAATAAAGCTGGATGGCATTTCGACGAGCAGCCATCTAAATTGTCATTTATAATAGTTTCATTGTGTTTTTAGATTTTTCGACAGATAAATATAATCAAAGCGAACCCTTGATCCAATAGCTCAGAGAATGACCGGCTTTGTCCGAATATTTATGGGTCAAGCCCGGTGGTTCTAGCTCTCGGCCGCCAAAAGTTTTCGTCTAACCCCCTTTTTGATATAAAAGGTGAAGGGGAGACAACTTATTCTTTCAGAATACACGGACCCTTCGGTGCAGTTGTTCATACTCAAGACGAACGCGTTGTGGCATATTTTTTTTAATCGACGATTGAGCTTTTTTATCCGTTCACTCGATTCTTTCCCACTCTTTCCCACTCGTTAAGGTACTAAAGTGCTGAACAAAACTAGAATTGTGTTGATTTGACTAGATTTGGTCGAAAAATTTAATAAAATTCTTTGTTAAATGACTTTTCTAGTTAAAAAGGGTTTCGACGATAAAAAGGTTTCAAAATCGGAGGTTCGAATTGAATGGTTTCAAAAAGCCTATACATGAAATTTCGGTACTTTCCCTATAACGGAGGGGGAATTTTTTTCTCTGCACCTTATTTAGACTCAGTAAATTTGTTTTATATGCTTGTTTTTACTTCTTTTTTGCAATTTTGATTTTATAAGAACAGTTGATTTCACTAAAACTGAAAGCTCTCACGTTGTCAGAGGTCTTTAACGTCAAAGACCTCTGGCAACCTGACAACCTGAAAAGTTCAAGATTTCCATAGAAAAAGTACCTGGATACTACTATCCAGGATAATAGTATCCAAAATCCTACTACTAAATTGCCAAAAAAAAGTAAAAACAAGCATATAAAACAAATTTACTAAGTCTAAATAAGGTGCAGAGAAAAAATCCCCCCCCCCGTTATAGGGAAAGTACCGAATTTCTGCGTCATCATTGCCACCACCATCATGGGAATTTTGCCATAAAATTAAAACTTTCTACGTGGTGCATAATAAGCAATATTAGGATAACTACAAATTTCAACCATACACTTGGAAAACTTATTGATCAGCTTGGAAAAACGGTACACTCCTTTAAAAGAGGCGAGTCTTAAAGGTTTCATGTTATGGGTTTCATGTTATCTTAAAGGTTTCATGTCATAAAATCGGGAAAGAGTGAAAAATCTCAAAATTACCCGCCAAAAATATTCACTTTAGCACCACAACAACAACAACAGCCACTAGAAATTCAAAGAAAAATCGAGCTGAACTAGTTTTTTTGGAACATTTATTGTACATTTAATAGGTTGATGCATAAGTCTTTTCGTTTTTTTCGTACTTCTGTGAAAAAGTAACAAATTCACCAATTAATCTATAGTTTGCTCTATAAAAAAAGTGTTTTTTTGTTCAATTTCCATCTTTTAAAATCAATTTCGGTTCACTTTCAAGCAAATTCGAGAGTGAAAAACGCCTTTTTCGTAAAAATCTATGAAAAACTCTACGGAAAAATTGGCTGAATGAATTTCTCTGAAATTTTGGCGAAATATCAAACTTTTTTTCTCTATCTTTTATCTATTGACACGAAGATAGGTTTTCTTTAGCTAAGGTGTCTAAACCGCATCATCGAGTTAGCCCTTTTTGACTACCCGACTTCATACTCTCAAGAAAATCCAGGCATAAAATATTTTTAAACCCGTTTTAATGTTATTTTGCAGAAAAATAATTGGTTTTTCTAATGAAATCAACCGTAGTTTAATTGGTGCATTTGTTGGCTTGAAACGGCAGACGAAAAGGAACAAAAAGACTTATGCATCAACCTAATACATTGTACATTTATTCCTTGATTCGTATAGTGGTGTTTGAGGTGTTCTCTAAAGTGTTCCCATCCATTTTTTACAACCAAAAGATCAAGCATGAGCTCTTTCTTGTCCCTTTCTTGTCCCTTTCTTGTCTCTTTCTTGTCTCTTTCTTGTCTCTTTTCACTTCCTCACTCACAGATCAAATGTGTGGCTGTGAATAGAGGGAAAAAAGGAAAACACAAAAAAGAGATTACACCGATCAACGATAAGTGGGGAAAAGAGTCTAGAAAGTACTTGACTCTGAATCTAATGGGAAACAAGCTTTAATTGAATATTTGTATAACTACTTTTGTTGTATAACTACTTCAGTATTCATCCTTCCCCCCACCTGATATCCCTTTGAGTAAAAAAAGGTTTTGAGAGGGTGGGTATCGACAAAACACGGAACTTTTTGCCCTTTCCTTTGGACCAAGCTGTCATTTCCATTCCAATCACTTTTCCCCCGATTCTCCTCCATTTTCAACACTCAACCAGACACTATTTTTGAGAAGAACTATAATTTTTGCCGCCCGTACTTGTCATTTCAACTTGAACACGTTTGATCTATCGATTTGTAGCTTTGACCTTTTCAATCGATTCGTTTCCAGGTACAAACTCACTTTTCGACTATCAAGCTACAAATTCACATCACACAAATATAGTTTAAACATTTGTTGATTTAAAAAATCAAAACCCGATTTTTGATTGCCTTTTTGGAGGAATTTAGTTTTTTTTTTTGGTTTCACGGGAGTTTTTGATATGAGAGGGTGGGAGAGTCTTTTGGGGGTGATAACCCTCAAGAAGTTGCACAAAAAAAACCGAAACGTATCGACTTTTTCCTCTTTTATCAGATGTGTGAGTTCAGAATCTACGCACTTTAAACTTTCTTTGGTATTCATTAGTGAACTAGTCTAGTTCTACCTGTAACAATCCTAGCAAATATTGCTGATTCGATTGCTGTTGGGGGTTGTTGTTGTTTTTTGTTGTTTTTTTTTTTTTTTTTTCCCCCCCCCCCCCCCCCCCCCCCCCCCCCCCCCCCCCCTCCCCCCTCCTCCCCCCCCCCCCCCCCCCCCCCCCCCCCCCCCCTCCCCCCCTTTTTTTTAAAAAAATAATTCCTAAAAAAAAATTTTTTTTTATTTTTTTTTTTTTTTTTTTCCCAAAATTTTTTATTTTTTTTTTTTTTTTTTTTTTTTTT